TTTGGCTTTGCTGGTGGTGATGGTGGATTTGATCACTTTGGTGGTGATAATGGATTTGGCTATGCTGGTGGTGATGGTGGATTTGGCCAGTTTGGTGGGGATAATGGATCTGGCTATGCTGATGGTGTCGGAAGCCTTTTCAAAATCAAACAAAAGATTGATTAACTTGTTCTTTTTTCTCTAAGTTCTGATAAACCTTATGTGTAAGAAGAAGAGCGTCTGCAGTTGACGTACTAGAACGAAATCCAAACTGAGTCCGATTTAAAAAGTTTGTTGAGATTAGGAACGAAGACCGTTTGCTAACAACGCTTTTGCTAATATTAGAGAGTAATGAAATAGGACGGGAGTTCTTGACGTGTAATTCGCTATCTTTCTTATGTACTGCTCATATAATACCTGCTTCCCACGCAGACGGAAAAACTCCAGCTGAGAGAGAAACAGAGGAAATACGGTGTAATTGCGGTGACAAGACATTGGCACAAAGTTTTTCTAGTAATTCAAGATCTTACTGCATTTAATAGTCCGAGAATCAAATCAAAAGTGACACATGTTGTAGCCCTCATAATTCTGATCACCGACAAAAACTACGTCAGATCGGTTAATATGAGCTAGATCTGTGGGGTCACCGATTTTACCCCTTATCGATTCCCGTCCTTTATTCTGCTTTCCTATCCCGTTTTGTCTACCGTCATATAAATAGTCATCCGCATAATCAAAGATCTTTGGTTCACAATGAATGAGAAACGCTTGTCCGATCAAACCAAAAAACGTTTTGTCTTTAACTGATCGAGTTCTTTGATGACCTTTTAAGTTCTAAGCCCACTCTTTTATTTATACATTCCAGAATTGTTTTCTACCCTTTACATCCGTTTGCATACATGCTGACACATTAGAGAAGAGAAAATGTAATGTGCACAGGGCTTCTTTTTCTTTTTCCGTTAATTCAAATGGCAGAAATAGTTCACTAATATTCACCTCCATATCCTCCATCACCACCAGCAAAGCCAAATCCATTATCACCACCAAATTGGCCAAATCCACCATCACCACCAGCATAGCCAAATCCATTATCACCACCAAATTGGCCAAATCCACCATCACCACCAGCATAGCCAAATCCATTATCACCACCAAACTGGCCAAATCCACCATCACCACCAGCATAGCCAAATCCATTATCACCACCAAACTGGCCAAATCCACCATCACCATCAGCATAGCCAGATCCATTATCCCCACCAAACTGGCCAAATCCACCATCACCACCAGCATAGCCAAATCCATTATCACCACCAAAGTGATCAAATCCACCATCACCACCAGCAAAGCCAAA